GGATGAGGCGGCGGCGGCGGAGGGGCGCAGCGCCGAGCCGGCTCAGCTGAGCTGCCCGCGGGCGGGCGAGAGGCACCGCCAGGTAAGCGCCGCCCGGGAAAGTTCGCCCTGAAGCGAGCAGCTTGGGACCGCCGCGCTTCCCGGGGCCAAACTTCAGCTGGGGAATCTCGCTGCCCCGGCCAAGGTGCGGGCCGGGCCGGGCCGTCTCGGCTTGGCGCCCTCCCCCCTGGTATAAATAGCGTGAAACAGGAGCCGGGCGGGGGCGGAGGGTGCCGGGCGCTTGCAGGAAGCTGCGAGCAAAGCCCCCCGCGGCCTCGTTGCTGGGTGTCGCCCCGGCCATGTAGGTGCCCTCCCTGCAGTGGCACCCTCCAGGCATGAGCCTTGTCCCATGCAACCGCTTGCCTGAAGCAAGGGGCAAAGGGAGGTGCCGAGGTAAGGAGGCAGAATTGCAGCTCCCAGGAGTTCTTCGCTGTTGCGCGGGGAGAGCGGTGTCGCATCTGCCCGCGTGGCCGAAGAGCAGTGTCACGCTGGAGTGGGGTGTCACACCCACCCCTGTGGCCCGAGACCCGTGTCATGCCTGGGGAATGGTGTTGCGCCCAGAAAGCAGTGTCACGCCCACCCGCGTGCCCAGAAGGCCTGGCTGGCATGTGTCTCAGGAACAGGATCCACTGAAGCTGTGTTCTGACCCCTGAATCTTGGGCCTCTTTTTTTTTTTAGGTGACTACTGGGTTGATCATCTGGAAGTGGCGAAGGAGACAACGAACCCCCGCCCCCATTGGAAGAACAGCGCCTTGAAGAAGAAGAGGGACTTTTCCGGGGAGCCGTCACCCAACAGCACGTGAAAGAGCGGAACGTGGGGCCGCGTTTGTGTGCACGTGAGCCAGGGAGCCGGGCTCGTTTCCAGCACATTGGTTCCAAGTGGGGCCCCTCTGCATCTCGCGATGATGTCGGTTGAAGGGTCTACCATAACAAGCCGCATAAGAAACCTGCTGCGCTCTCCGTCCATTAAACTGAGGAGAAGCAAGCCTGGGACCAAGCGGGAAGACATCAGCAGCAAGGTGAGTGCGGCATCTGTATCACATCAGAGTTTGTTGCAGTAGGTCCCATCCGTGCTAAGATCCAAGTGTGCTTGCTAAAATAGCCGAGTCCCACAATATGAGTCTAACTTCGTTTTCTGTTGTAGTCGGAACCTTAACTTTGTCTTCAGACCTTCCTATAGCCCAAGCCCGTCCTATGCATGCATTGTATTTGGAAGTGCTTGGAGGTGACTGATGTAGCAGCTTCAGACTAAGTCCTGGTATGGAGAGTATTAAACTAGTTCAGGAATTCCCACCCCCTGCTCTGTGGGCCACTTGGTAGCGGTCAATATGTGGCTGCATACTGCCTTCTCCCCCATGTTTCTGTCTGCTAAGTTGAATTAAAAATAACTAAAAATAAGTATGTGTACTTATTCTTCCATCTAAGCACTTGCTGTCAGTGCCACAGTAACATGTGGTCACGAATGGAAGGTGAGGTGTCCTGTGGGGTGAGACTTGGGAGACGAGCCCATGAAATACTTCCCTACACAGCTATGGTCCCCATTGCGAGGAAGTGTGAGAACCCTTGATCTAACTACTTGCTCTTTCTTGTGTGTTCTTCATAATGAACTATTCTTGCCATTTTTGCTCTTGGGGATGGTAAGTATGCCTTTTAAGCACTGGTTGTCTCCTTATTGTCCATCATCCTGGTGTCAGAGTGAAGTCAGACCTTTTGATGTGCCATTCCAGGAAGTGGGCCGATACCCACTGAGTAGAGCCACAAACCCCATTTAATAAGTGTGTGTGTATGTGTGGGGGGAGGTATTAAGGGCATATAAGTGATTGCTTGGGACAAGTGAAATACAAAATGGATGGGGGCGAAGGTCAAAGGTTTAAAATGAGTGGACCAAGGGGGGTGGACACCGAACACAGACAAGTCAGGGAGCTGAATTCCTGATGGAAACAATCATTCATCTGGAATTGACTCTGATGTCATAAGGAACGGATGGTAATTTAATTGCAGGGTCAGTCAGGAGGAGGAACCAGACTGGGTGACATTGCCTTGTGGTAAGAGCAAGGGACTATGAATCAGGGAGACCAGCCTCTATTCCTGACTGCCACTGACTCATTTATGACTTCGGGCAATATGCTTACCCTTTACGTATCTTTGTTCTGCACTTACAAAATTAGGAGGGTAACTCCTCTCTGCTGTGAGGTCTGATTAATAAATATGAAGAGCTTTGTAGTCCTTCCCCTGAAGTGCTATCATCCTGTTATTTGTTTAGAACAGTGGTTTTCAAACTTTTCTGAGCTGACCCCCCCTCTGAGTTATGATTTTGTTCATGTGTCCCACCCCCCTCACCCCAGAGGAGCAGTGTAGCCAGGCATAGGGTGCGCCCCTCATCCTAACAGCCACCACGTGGGCTCCACCTGCCGCGGCTCCAGTGCCTCCTTGCCCCCGCTGTGGCTCTAGGCTGTGCGCCTGTCGCGTTGGGCTTGCAGAGGCACAGGAGCCCTCTGGTGGAGCCTGTCTGGGACTCTTCACCCCCACAGCCCCCTGCAAGGTTGCAGCAGCGCCGGCTCCTTGCAAACTTCTTGCCCGCATCCCCTGTGCTGCAACCACCCCCCACCACAATGTTCCTTTATGTCTTCCCAGGGGGGTGTACCCCACAGTTTGAAAATCGCAGATTTAGAAGCTGAAGCTTTACAAATATAGCTATGTTACCAGGGAGAACACATAAAACAGCAGGTGCGGTGAATAACATTTTGTTGAAATTCTTTCTCTGTCCCCAGTGTGAAACCCTACTTGTAATACTGGTTTTCATTGCTTTGGCTGGGTATTACCAATATGCACTGTTTGTTTATCCCGTCTTTTCTGGTAGGATAAAACCTACTCGTTTACCTCGGAGAGTCTTCTGTGTTACCATGACCTATGCTACTGACAGGAATGTGTGTGTTGCTCGAGTACAGAGTGATTGGACTCTAATGAAATGCACTCAGTATCTGCTGCTGAAGAGGTCTTGATTCATCTGTGTAGGCAGAGAATTTTTTAAAATTATAAAATAGTTCTGTGCGCTGCAGGAAGGAGGGACTGCTGGATCTCAGCTCAGTGAAAGGAAAAGGTATCCGTGCTCTGCTGAGCTACAGCTGTTTCTTTTTTGAGCTGGAAACTGCCTGTAACCCCTCCCTGGTATCTGATCAGAGTGTGTCATGGTGCGAGCCTTTCAGGAGAGCCCTGTTGTATCCCTCATGAGTTTGGTGTTGTGAAATCATTCCTGCAACACTCTTGCCAAAGCACCTTCACAATTGTCTTGTCCCCAAGGGAAATTTAGAGATTCATGCCACCGCATTAAATTAGCTTTTGTATCTTATTAACAAGTACATTAATGCAGTAGATCAGTAAGATGTGGGGAAACAATGATGTGATACATTAGAGGCGGCTTCTTGGGGAATTTGGATAATTTTCTTGGACTGAGATGCTATGTGGTGGTGCTCTGGGAAAGCAGCATAGTTGAATCTGCTTTCTGCCATAACGTTAGACTTTGAAGCTTTCTGTGCTGCCCTTTGAAATCTATGAAATCTTTGTCAAAGGTCTGAAAATAAACTGTTCTTGCTTATACTGGTGGAGATCTCATTTTGTCATGTGCATGTTTTTTAAGGTGAGAACCCCTGCCACTGTACAACTGTGAAGCATGTACCTTCCAACTGCTGTAAGTCTTGAGTATGAATCCACTGGCATTGAATTATAGTGGTATATTTATAACTCTAAATGAGTCTCTTGTTCATTCAGCCTCCACTTACCCGCCGTGGGTAATGGGTAGGATTTTTGCCAGACCATGGTTAACTTTTGAGGTATGTTGGAAAATCTGGAGTATTTGAAAAGCTGCCATAAAGAAGACTGAGTAATATTGTTCTCCTTTGTCACAGAGGGTAGGATGTTTGCAATGAGTTTAAATAGCAGAAAAGCAAATTTAGGTTAAATCTCAAGAAAAACGTCTTAATTGTACATTTTTCAGTAGGATAATGGAACAAGCTGCCCAGGGAAGTTGTGGAACCTTTTTCACTGTTGGTTTTCAAGAAGAGGCTGAACAAATCCTGCATCTGTTCAAGGAATTGAACTAGATGACTCTTGAAGGTCTCTTCCAGTCCTATGATTCTGTGATGGCAGCATTTGGATATTATCTGGCATGTAGTTATATGCATTGTTGAAATCCCTTTATAGCCTCCAAGTGTGGTGGTCTGCAAAGTTTATGGTAGTAGCTAGCTATCTTGGGTTCTCATGAATATGGTCTGGTATATATACAAGACAAAGCAAGACTAATTTCCTGGATCCATGCCTGAAAGGAGACTGCCTTTTGTGCTAAGCACAGGTGAAAAGTGAGACAGCTTCAACTCCTTATTTTCTCTCAAGCACTTCAAGGCCTTGTCACCTCCAGCAACTCTGTTTAGAATTGGTAAATACCTGCAGAAAACTGCCAGCTCAGTGTCTGAGTTTCAGTGTTCCAAGTGAGAGGATTCCTCATGTGAAGCAAGACTGTGTTTTGAGGCCCCCTAGGATATTGTGGGAAATTCACTGTCACCAGAACTTTGGATGGTGATCAAATAAATCTGTACAAAGGGTATTCTGACTTGAATAGGGCAGAGAGAGGAGGAAGAGAAGCTCTGTGCAAATGGGTTCCGATCCATGGCACCCATAATGCCTATAATGGCATTATAGGCCTATAATGCTGTGTGAGCAGTGGGTAGACCATAGGATGGTTGTTGTGCTGAAACCTGTTGATCCAGTATTTGGAAAGAAGGTGTGGGAGCAAGTGCAAATAACTGTTTTGCAAAAAAAGGGGTGTGTTTCATGTGAGCTGCAAAATGAAGGGAAGGCTGGATTCAGGACCCTTTATTTACCTCTTTATGAAGACCAGAAATAGATTGGAGGGGGGGGGTGTTGAAAACTAAACAGTAGAGGTGGACCGATACGTCAGTCCAATATTGGACCAGCATCAGTATAAAGAAAATTGATTATCGGAAATTGGCGTGATGTGGTCAGTAATTTGGCTGATAAATGCCCGTGCATGTGCACAGCTCAGATCAGGCAGCGAGGAATACAGCCCAGCAGCTTGGAGAGCTGCATGCAGCTGGTAAGTCTGTTGTGGTGGAAGGGGAGAGGGGAGGGAAGGGCTGTGGGGGGTGCAGATCAATGGCCCCCATGGTGGGGGAGGGAGTGGGGCTGGGGCTAGGGTAGGCGCTGCCTAGCCGGGGCAGGGCAGGGTGTGGAACAGAGCCGCGGCTCTTCCGGAGGGTGTGGGGATGGGGAGTGGCTCCTGCTGCTGCGTGCACCCAGGAGGGCATGGGGGTGGGGATGCATGTGCTCCCAGATCTGTGTGGGGTGCTGCTGTGGGATGGGGCCAAGGCTGCCCTGGGCTCTTCCTGGTGGGGGCTGGGCTGGCTGCGCTGTGCTTGGGGCAGGCTGCAGTGTCACTGGGAGGGCGGTTATGGGAGTGCTGCAGCCACCCCAGATTTTGCCATACCCCCCCATAGCCCCCCTCCCAGTGCCACCACCACCACCTACCCCGAGCACAGTGTGGCCCCCCTTGCCCCCCACCAGGAAGAACCCGGTACAGCCCCTGGCCCCAGCCTGCAACTGCAGCCTGCCATACCCTGCCCCACACAGATTTGGGGGCAACCCCCTACAATGCCCTCCCAGGGTGCATGCAGTGGCTGGAGCTGCTCGCCATCCTGGCACCCCCAGACAAGCCATGACTCTGTCCTACATCCTGCCCCACTCCCTCCCTCACCGTGGGGGGTGTTGATCTGCTCCCCCATGCCCCTTCCCTCCCCCCTCTCGTTCCACCACAATAGACTTACCAGCTGGATGCAGCTGTATCAGAAAGTGGATTGATATTGGCCGATATGCCTCCTTAAAAATTGGCTATTGGTATTGGCCCCCAAAACCTCTATTGGTGCACCGCTATTAAACAGTCCTTTTCTTAAAGTTGGGCCTTGTTTACCCTGTTTTTCTTGGATAGCACCTAAACTACAGCAGTAGT